TTGTGTAGGATTATAGTTCTTCCCTAAATGCTTGGTAGAATTCCCCGGTGAAGCCATCTGGTCCAGGGGATTTTTTGTTGGTAATCCCTTGATAACCTTGTTTATTTCTTCTATTGCTATGGGTTTGCTGAGATTCTTGACGTCCATCAAGGATCTTCTAGGGAGGGATTGTTTTTCCAAGAATTTTTCCATGTCTTCCAAATTTTTGCATTCATTGGAGTACAATCCTTTTCATTCATTGGAGTACTTTATAATTATACTTTTGATTTCATTGGGGTCTGTTTTAATGTCCCCTCTTCCATCCCTTATTCTTGCTATTGAAATTTGTTCCCTCCTTTCTTTGGTTAGGTTTGCCAGCTGTTTGTCGATTCAGTTTATACTTTCAAAGAACCAACTTTTAGTAACTTTAATTTTTTCCATTGTTTTCTTATTTTCCCTCTCATAGATCTCAGCCCTGATTTTTATTATTTCTTTTCTTTTGCTATTAGTTGGATTGTCCTGCTGACTCTGCTCAAGTTGTTGTAAATTTTGTGCCAGAATATCCATCATGAGTCTCTCTTCCTTTACCAGGTGTGCATGTATTGCTATGAAACTTCCTTTGATAACTGCTTTTGTTGTGCCCCATAAGTTTTCATATGCCATGTGCTCATTCTCATTGGTTTCTAGAAATTTCCTAATTTCATCTCTGATCTTTGCCAGTATGCACTCCTTTTGCAGTACAGAGTTATTCATCCTCCAATTGTTTGCTCTTGTTTGTTTGATCTTCCTTTGCTGATTTCCAGCCTTATGGCACAGTGGTCAGAGAGAGAGGTCTGTATGATATCTTAAATTTATGTAGATTCGCCATATGCCTGAACATGTGGTCTATCCTCGAATATGTGCCATGTGGGCTTGAAAAGAATGTGAATTTTTTGGTATTTGGATGAAAAGCTCTAAATATCTATCAGGTCAAATTGTCTAATTGTAGTATTTAGATCTCTAGCCTCCTTGTTGAGTTTCTTTTCCTGTGATCTATCTTTCTAAGAGAGTGGTGTATTGACGTCACCCACTACAATTGCTGAGGCTGTGATTTATTTTTTCATCTTTTGGAGTGTTTGGTTGATGTATTCAGCAGGTCTCTCATTTGCGGACTATATGTTTACAATGCTTAGTGGTCCTTTGTCTACCATTTCTTTGAGCATTATATCGTGTCCCTTCTTATCTCTTTTTATGGTTTGCACTTTGAGGTCAATTTTGTCCAAGATTAGGATTGCAACCCCTGCTTTTTTTTATTTGCTGATTGCTTGGTATGCCTTTCTCCAGCCTTTGATTCTCAGCTTATTTTTGTCTGTATCCTTGAGATGTGTCTC